CACTCTCCTCCAGTGACTGTGTTCACAGTCTGGGGGTGCGCCTTGACTTGTTGCTCCTGATGACAAATCAGGTAAATGTGACGGTCAGAAGTGCCTGTTATCAGTTTCGGCTGATACGCCAGTTGCGCCCTTTTCTGGAAGTAAGGGATCTCGAGACAGTCGTGCACGTGCTGGTAACCTCACGGATGGACTTCTGTAATGCACTCTACATGGGGCTACCCTTGTGCTTGGTTCGGAAACTACAGTTGGTTCAAAATATGGCAGCCAGGCTTGTATCTGGAACATCTAGGAGGGACCACATCACTCCGGTTTTGAGGTCCCTCCACTGGCTGCCTATTGGTTTCCGGGCCCAGTACAAGGTGTTGGTTATTACCTTTAAAGCCCTAAATGGCTTGGGTCCAAGCTGTATCAGAGACCGCCACCTCTCATATAATCCTCCCCGCGCACTCCGGTCCTCTGGGAGGAACTTGCTGCAGCCTCAAAAATCGAGGCTCTTGGCTACCTCCCAGAGGGCTTTCTCTATTGTCGCCCCCAGGCTCTGGAACGGCCTGCCGGATGAGATCCATCAGTTAACATCTTTGGACAGCTTCAAAAAGGCTGTCAAGATGGATCTCTCCTAGCAGGCCTTTCTGGATTAATATCCTGACCTCGGGTTCCTCCCCCCTCCTCAGCAGAACCTCTAGAACCCCTGTTTTCTTGGAAGAAAGTCACAGGGGTTGTTATGATTGTTTTAATTTTAATTTTTGTTTTTATATTGCTAAATGGTTTTAATTATAATGTGGTTTAATAACGTTTTAAGGGGGGGAGGGAAAATGTTGTTTTACGTTGTATGCTAATTTTTATGCTGTAAACCACCTGGATTAGATTACCAATGGGCGGTATAAAAATAAAAATTATTATTATTATTATTATTATTATTATTATTATCAGTGATACCTTTGTTGGCCAACCAAAATGCACAGCTACAAGCTTTCGAAGCTCTATGGGCTTCTTCATCAGGCAAGATGTTACAAACCAAACAGGAGAAAAATAATTTGAGATGTTAATCAGATGCCTACATGTTGTTTCAGAAGGCAAATTTCCATCTAATTTGAAACTAGCGGTGGTTAAACCGTGCTTGAAAAAAACCTCCCTTGATCTCCTGGTGAAAAATAATTATAGGTCAGTCTCCCTTCTACCATTCTTGGGTAAGGTGATCGAGAGGGCAGTTGCCCTGCGACTCCAACTTGTCTTGGAAGAAGCTGATTATCTGGACCCATTTCACACCGGCTTTAGGGCGGAATATGGAGTTGAGACTGCCATGGTCACCTTAGTCTGGGCATAAACAGGGGAAGTGTGGCCCTGTTGGTGCTCTTGGACATCTCAGTGGCAT